CACATTCAATAAGCCACTACGATTCTGAATGGAAGTAGAATGCGTGCCGCATCCCACAAAGGGATTGATTAACGGCGAAGACTTTATCCTTTTATCATTCATAGGAGTTCCAGAGCAGAGCAAACCTGTGTGAATTCCATTGCCTCAAGCTTTATAGTTAGTAGAATAGAAGCACTTTCAGTGGTACAACTCGCTACGCGTCAATTAATGCTCATAATGGCGAGGAGCAAGCTCCAAGGGATGACCTAGCATCGTGGTTTTATATGATGGTGGAGTTGTTATCTGGTATGTTTTCTGACAAAAGATTCCGTTCATTGTTCATTCCCCGGAATCGCTCGTATCTCCTATCCTGTTCCTCTACAATTTCTATAAAACTACACTCGTAAGCATTTAGGTTCAGGTTTCCTTCCATGGTCGGATTTCCATCACGATTCTGTAAACGAGGTCCGTGCTATGAAGGAACACGTGCAAACGACCGAAGGAGCCAATATGTTGTTCCAGTTTTGCCCAAAGGTATGTATCCTAAAATTATCTTTTTGATCGCTTAAACGCAGTTGGCACAATAGATCCCCAAGACGAGTAGGATTAATACGCCTGGCAGGACGGAATTCCGCGACCCTGAGCAGGCGCTGCGTAGCGCCTTTTCCAAGGAAGGTACCCTTATAAGGGCCCTATCAAGCTACAACATACCGACCCGAACGCCCACCACGCCCGCCCGCCCACAAATGGACGACCGTTCCTGACGCTCGTATTGCTTCATTTGCTAAGCAAATTATGAAGCGAAGGGTATGAAGCGGCCGCGGTGCTGCATGGATATATGAGTACATACGTGCAGCCGTACCTACCGTAGCGGTTATTGGCAAGATGCCTACGGGAAACTCGTCCGAAATTGCTTTTTGAGTCATTAAGAACGAAGGCTTTTCTTCGCAGGTTTTTGACCGTTTCACTTCGTTTTTTCGCCATTTTCCCCACTATATAGCGCCCTGCTAGCATTTTAGGCCGAGTACCAAATTATCGCGCCGCTCACGCATTCTTAATTTGTGCGTCTAAAACAAACAGAAGGGGATGTTCTCATTTGGTGAAGTTCGGTGAAGTAAAGATAAAGTGGTTGTTTTATTAGCGGCGCAAGTATAGTCGCTGCACGCCCTCGGTTGCGTCAGGGGGCTTGGTTTGACGCCAGCGCGTTCGCTACTAACTTTTGTCTCTTGCACTCTTCAACAATTGATGGAAAATGGGCTGGCCGGCGTCAAATCCAGCTCACCCTTCACACGCTTCAGCGTCGCTATGAAAATGGCTGTACTCATCTGCGCATTGGTAGGAATTCCCTACCTTCTGGTCCTCTTCGAATTTCTGGCTGTCCTCTTCGAATTTCTGGGGTTCATGGTACATGGTGGTGGCATCAGGTTGGAAAGAAAGTCCCACGACATTTTGATGGAATTGTTCTAGAGAAAAAACATTTCGAATGCTTTTACCCCTGATGAGAGGAAAGCGTTCTCCGAGTTTCTGCAGTACGGGTATATTATGACTTTGTAGAAGCTTCCAGAGCCTGAAGGTCTTTCGAAGGTCAAGGTACCTTTCGACCGAATCCCATATTTTGAGATTCTGTGGGGCAGTCCGTCGTTGTCGAGGGAGCTAACATCTGCGTGGTCTCCAAAAAAGACATCACTCGCCACGGCACAGTGTCACGCTTGTATCAGCTACTGCAAGCTGGAGTTATTTAATTCGAAAGTAGGCAACGTATAGGGCGGCCACCAGAACGATGGCCGTTTACTCAACCCTTGGAGACGCAGAAGAACGTGGCCAACAGTAAGTTGGCAACCTCTCTAGGCTGCACTTAACTGTGAGTGACAATTGCCATGCTTCCCGCAGTCTCGGTTATAGGGAAGATTTTTTGTGAAGGATCCTCATGAGTTTGACCAGTCTAACAATGCGAATCGAATGATCGTGACTGGTCTTCTCTTCCTTGTACGCAATTGAAGAACTTTTGTGAGAAATTGTGGAAGTAGCCTGCCTAGCCAAAAGCACCTGAGCATGGAATAGAGATTTCTCTGTGCTGTTGTTGGGACTTCAAAGCGATGCTGATACCGGCACAGAAGTGGCGGCCACAGTCACAGTCAACGCTAATCAACTTCAGAGCACGATGGCGTCACGCTTGAATCCATTCAGAAACGCTCAACTTCTTTCTACTCCTCGGCAGTGCGAAGCACGCATGTGGCGATGGGCCCACTTCAAAAGATTATGGACTCGGTCAGAGAATGATTTCACACCCAACTTATTCACCCAACTTTGCTGCATTTAACTACTACCTACTTTGATCGCTACTGCATCCTCTAGAAATCGAAAATTCTGAAAATCAACGTCCACTCGGAAGTGAAGTCAACCTCTTCTTTTCACCGCAGTTGCTGCATTGCTATCAGAGTGGAATCGAAGACCTGTGAGAAGAATAGGCACTTGTCTCAGTTATTAACGGTGATTGCCTTGTAGATTGGAGATGTCGCTCAGTGAGGGAAAATTCGGTCAGAAATTATGGTTCAGAGTGTCGCAAGACTTTCTTTCCAACCTAATACTATGTACGCCCTTATCGTTGTTATTTTACTATTTCGCTTACTCGGACTTCTGTCCACACTCCCTCCCCCCTCTCCCTCACTCACACCAGATATTGAAGGTCGCATTCGAGGAGGATGGTAGGAGGATCACATCGAGGAAAAAGCTTAACCATGGCTTAGTATGCGCGTAAACTTACCGTTGTTTCCCCGAATACAAAAAACGCCCACGACCGACCAGATCGCAACGCGTGGAGGCTTTGTTGGAATGTACAATAACCATCTCTCGGCCATCCGATGATCTCGTGACTACCGGATTACTAAATCAACAGTCCATTGCGGTTCCATGGGCGGAGTTGGGCTCATAACCGTTTCTTCCTTATTGGCGCGACCTCTGCAAAAAAAGAAGGAGGGAGAGGGCGGCAATGAGGGGGGCCGAGGGGCCGACCCCGCTCACAAGAACGACGTGGGATGTAATTTGTGGATTGAAAAAGTCTAAGGTACGGCTGAGTCTTTCCCCAAAGTTGGAACATATGCAAAATCCATCGTGAAAGCTTGGATGACAGCTGGGCTTAATCGATTCCTCTGAATAGTGATCCTCAGGCTTCTCCAGGGCATAGTATCACTGAGGGCTGAAGCTCACTTTTTAGTGACTTCTGTAAGTTGAAATGGAGCCTGTGTGGTTTCTTCCGAAGGATCGTACAGCGGAGGCGCTTGAACATTGAGAACAGAGGCGCGCGCTTCCATATCTTTGCGGGGGGGGTGGATATTAACAATGAACGATGGCAGAGTGGTGGACACCTCAGCCTTGCGCCCGTACACTCAGAGTCAGGTATGGTTTCCTGTGACAATAGCGAGGCATCCAACTCTCGGCGGCACCTATTTGCTGCGCGCATAAAAAAGGAAACTGGGAGAATGCGCGCGAGAGAGAGGCGGACTACTTACTTGGATTTCTTAATTGTGCTATGGAGTCAGTAAACACAGAGCGCCGAGATAGGCTAACGGCGAAGACTAAAAGTAGCGCAGATAAAAGGATGCAACAGACGCATCGCGTCTATTTCGTTTATTACAAAGATTAAACGTAATTTATGTACACAGCTTCTTCTACGAAAAGCTATCTGCTCTCTAGCGCCCTTACTTCGTAGACTTAAGCCTCGAAATTGGCGTAGCCCTCCGCTCATGCGGTCTATCGCCCTTTTGTCATGAAAGGGACTTCCATATTTCCTGAAATATGCCTTATAAATTCCTGACCAAATGTGGGTAGTAAAATCATGTTTGTCGCTCTAGAGGTAACTAAAAGCCAAGCTATCTACTAAGATGCACAAATAAGCGTAACTCTCATGTTTCAGGTCGAATTTCGTCGTCTCCAAAAATATATTGATGGCTTGAAATTTCAAAGTCAACCAGACTACACCTTCGTCGCGGAGATGGTACAGCTGGCAATGAAGAATAACGGAGTGAAAATGGATGAACCATACGATTGGGAGGAATAAGTCTTTTATGAGCCAAAGACCAAACCAACCTGATGTTTTCTGAAGTTCCGCATTGGATTTTAATAATTTAAGCTCTAAAAAAGCTGAATTTGTCTCGTGTTGATACATCCGCTTCTGTTGTGCATTGTATTCTTGTTACTTACCACTGAATATTTTCTGGGCTTCTTCAAGCTTCAGTCATCATTTTGCTTGTTCTCTCTGCAAACGACTTCTTATTTGTTGGTACATACGCGATTATCGATCAAATTGATATTCAGAACATCCGCAATTCTGAACCGTATGCACCTTCACAGGAAAGAGGGGCTCCTTTTATTTTTGGGAGACCCGCTCTTCAGCTGGGCTAAATTACGTCCTATCTGCGTGTCTGCGCCCTCTTACAGAAGCTTGATACATTCTAACGTACCCTACTGAACGTCAGAAGATACCATCCTCATCACTGTTTCATAAGGAGAGTCGCAACAAAAAAGAAGAC